AGTTATTATACATGGTTATTTTTACCCAAGTATTTAGTTAAGACAACTATATAGTATAGGTAATACAACCATATTATTATAACTGGACAACAAATATAAAATAAAAATGGCATTTAGCGTTTGCTATTGTTTGTAAGTAGTGTTATAACTTGTACAATGATATGTTAATTAATGCATAATTCGATTTTGATTGTATAATAATTGCACAAGGAGTTAATTGTTAGTCCCGGGAAAAATCTATTCAGATATCTTTATAAAATTTTTGTTTTCTGGACCGCGCTTGAATTCATCGATGGAAAAATTGCAGCTTTTTCCAGACAAAAACGCGCGTCGGGCTTATTGGCGAATGTATATGAACGATTCATTATTCGTTGATCCATTGAGAACGATGGTCGACGAAAACTTAACCTGATCTATATATTTATATATTTTTTCGTTAATTGTTTTATTTTGATAATTAATGTATATAATTATATAATTTAATAATATATTATAAAATAATTGCAATAATGGATGAATGGACTCAAAATAAGTTGAAAGATTTAAATCTTGAACAGCTAATTCAAACTTTTGAAGGTAAGAAAAGTATTCATTACAATATATATTTACTCAGAAAAATAATCGTTCTTTGAATTTTACGGTAGAAAAATGACAATTTTGATAAATTTTTGCCCGTCTAATATAAATATTAATCATGTATATATTTAAATTAGTAAAACAATGAAAGTAAAATTTTGATTTAAATTAATATCAAATGATTTTTAAAAAAAAATATCCCACAGGAATAAGACAAATTATCATTAATATAATATAATATTTAATAATACATTTCATTATTCAAACCTACAAATGTCGGTATTTTTAAATGTTGATAAATTTTAGTTTTAATATATAAATTAAAAACTTGACATTCGTACAGTAAAAAAATATATATATATATAATCATTCCTAGGAAAAATAAAGCTTGTTTTTCATAAGTAATAAATAAAAATATTAAGTATGCACAAATTGTTAGATGAAGAGATAAATAGAGTTGCATACATGTTCTTGACAGAGGACATGTTAAAAGATTTGGTACATAAAATTGATTGGAGGTCCAAAATTTTTAAAGTTATATTGCAATCTAAAAGTGCCGAATATAGCACATTAGAGGTAATAACAATTTTTTAAATGAATCTAAGTCATTTATTAGTCAAAAATATTAATTTAACAGTCGTCATTGATTTCATTGAATCTGATTAAAAAAAATTATCTTATAATCTCATTATAAACGTACGGGTTGTCCCACCAGTTTCTAACATCCTAATTAACTTTTGATAGAAAAAAAATGTTGTGTTAACTGTTTTTTTAATCGTTTTTTAGTTTTGGACTACACTAAAAAGATATACTTTACTATTTCTTTTTAATAGAATAAATAATAAAAAAAAACAATTTTATTTTACAATTTATTGTGAAAAATTAAACAATCAAAAATTGTTTTTCTCTAAAGCCATTTTTTTAGGTTGATTTTATTAAATCCTAAGTTAATTTTCAACCAAGTTTGGTAATATATTAATANGGTTGATTTTATTAAATCCTAAGTTAATTTTCAACCAAGTTTGGTAATATATTAATATATTACCAAAAATAATATCCAAAAAAATATACTTCTAATACATAAAAATACTCAGAACCAATCATTTTGTGAACAATAATCTTACTTTAGACCATGAGCACCCTAAATCTTAATTTTTGAAATACTAAATAGAAGAATTAATTTTTGTAAAAAAAAAAAACAAAACAATTTTTTGTTTTCAGCGTTATTGCTCTGAAATCTCTTATTTAATTTAAGAATTTTAAAATGAAACATAAAATTCTTATTCAATATTTTATACTTTAGAAAAGCATTCATTAATAGCTAATTTAAATAATCCGTTATTTTTTTTCATTAAAAAAAAAATACAAAATAAGACTATTTAATTGATGAAGCATCTTAAAACTAAATTTTTAGGGTAGCTATTTGATGTCTCATGTACATAATTTTATAAATTAATATTTATCAAACAATTATTTTAATTATTTAAAAAAAACAAACAACTTATATCCTTCAAAATATTCTGTAGGTGATAACTTATTTATAATAATTAATTATTCATTATAATAAAAGATGTAATGCCATTCTTGAGAATAAAATTTAGCAGCTTGGTTATGAAGAGTTAATGGTTTAGAAACTGAAACATTACAATCGTTTTGGAATTTTGTTGTTTATTAATTTTTAAACAATTAAGTTACAGACAAATTTAAGTAAATCATTTTTTTTTTTGAGGAATATATTTTGCTAATTATGTTTACATTTCTTACATATTTTAGTCATATTGCTAACAATTTATTTTATGCTTTATTAGTTTAAATTGTATAAATTATTGTGTTGTACTACTATTTAAGGTATTTGAAATCCAAACTTTTCTTATTGAAATCAATAGTAATATAAATAAAATATCTACATTTGAATNTCTTACTGAAATCAATAGTAATATAAATAAAATATCTACATTTGAATATGAAGAAGTGAAGGTTGAAATAAAAGTGAATAAAACAGCTGAATGTAGTAAATCTACAAACATCAAAATTGAAGTAATAATAGTAGTTTTACGCAATATTGGTAATAAGTTATCGATTATACATNTACGCAATATCGGTAATAAGTTATCGATTATACATATAATTAAGTGTACTTAGAGGCTATTATAAAGGAATATTTAGTTAGATATCACAAAAGCTAATTTAGTAGCAATAGAAAATTTTAGCTGACATTGAAACCGAGTTTTTTTTTTTATTTAGCAAATTCATTAACATATATCAATAATAATCAACATAAAATGAATAAAGAGATAAACCGATAAAACTTGAATTTATCAGCCAATACTCTAAATATTTTAGTTTCTATTATTATGGTATTTTATAAAGAATTAACCATAAAAAAAAAAATAATAATTTTTTATTAATCAAGTATTTTACAAATTCAAAAATGAGTATTTATTTTTTTGATTAAATTGTTGCTTTTTATAATACAGAATAATAAGCAACTTGATACAATCAGTGAACAGCTTAAGATCTCTAAAATTTTAAATCAACCACAAGACGGTGGAATGGTTATCAAGTTCTATGAAAAATATAAAGACTTAAATTCAAAAATGAGAAACATTATGGTTCATTTAATTATTGATAATGAAGTGAAGGCTAGTAACAAACATATACTAACTACTGCTCAACTTCAACAACTTTCAGTTAATATTGTCAACTGTTTTCCAACCGAGTAAACAGCTGTTTACTATTCATCATACCAAAAAATTGGTAATTCAGTTAAACTGACTAGGGGTTGGTTGGGTTGGGCTCAAAAATAATTCTGAGCCTATAAGTACAGTTATAGATAAATAGAGAAAAACAAGAAGTTATAGGCAACAAATATTAAGGGAAAGCAATGAAAGCATTTCATTCTTTTCTGAATATCCATTATTCAAGTGTTAATGGATTTCAGTTGGTTAGTATTTTTGGATCAAAGTTACATTGTTTTCAATTTTAATTTTAAACATCAATTTGATAGCCAATAATTACCAGAGAATCAAAAAGTAAAAGAATATAACATTGTCACTTAATCATGAGTATGATTAATTGAACTTTAAAAAGTAAAAAATACATAGCATGTAGATTAATTGTACACTTATTAAAGTGCAATTCGAAAATATAAATATTCTTAAACCCTTTAAATAAGATGTATTAATATAATAATTAAAACTAAAAATTATTATTATTAACTCTCGCTTTTATTAGTTCAACAACATAATACTTGCTAACTAAGTACTACTAAAAAGAATTCAAAGAACTATTTTTCATTAATAAATAATTAATAATTTTAATTTAGGTAATTTAACTTTTCAGATTGAATTGGATTTTAACATTTTATATTCAGATAAAGAAGTACCCTTCTTTTAAAAAGTTTAAGAATTTGCCAATTGTATATGGAATTATATTAACAAACACCAAAAAAATATTATTAAAAATAAAAATTTATCCACATATTTGGACATCATAGAAAAACATAGTTTTAGGTTTTTAATTTTTTTTTAATTCAACAATTGTTACTCTGTCTTTTAATTAATTTTGTAGAGAATTAATTAAATGACAAAAAAAAATACTAAATACAATTGTTGTACATAACAGAAATTGATGTTGCCATATTATACATATTACCAGTTATTTCCATCAATTACTATTAAGTTGAAGCCAATAAACAATTTAAAAAGGAAAAAAACCCAAAACTTTAGACATTCTGTTGAAGAAATTGCAGATGGTTTTGTTTGCTTTGCTCAAGTAATTAACTATGCAATAAATTATAATCAAATTAAAAAAAAAACACTAATGTACTATCTTTTTGTATTGTTTTAGTCCTTTTCTCATTTGAATCATAGAGTAATATAGAGGTGACGTTCCTAATCTCTGCCATGTAACCTTTTGAAGAAAAAACGACGGTCATTCGCCTCAACTTGAGTCACTTTGATTTCAGAGTTCTTCTCTAGATCGCAGTGCAAAAAATCATGTTGACTGATCATAGGTTTTTAAAAAGTTGCCGTTAAATAAATTATTACAGGTTAAATCGTGTGTATTATTATTTATTTATTACTACTTTTTATTTTTTCAATATATTATAAATTACTGAAAAAAAAAAAAAAATTATGCCAAGAATNGCCATGTAACCTTTTGAAGAAAAAACGACGGTCATTCGCCTCAACTTGAGTCACTTTGATTTTAGAGTTCTTCTCTAGATCACAGTGCAAAAAATCATGTTGACTGATCATAGGTTTTTAAAAAGTTGCCGTTAAATAAATTATTACAGGTAAAATCGTGTGTATTATTATTTATTTATTACTACTTTTTATTTTTTCAATATATTATAAATTACTGAAAAAAAAAAAAAAAATTATGCCAAGAATAGTTTGAACAGTTCACAAAAATCTAAGCTTATGCGTCATGCTTTGGATTTATTGCTGGAAATTAAAATTATTGTAGCAAGTCTCACATATGATGGTTGCTCAACTAATTTATCAACGTCTCAAAATTTAGGTTGTTCTTTTGATGTTGATAAATTAAATATTAAATTAACTTCTTGTACCAAAAATAATGCTAATGCCGAGATTGTAGTTCTATTAGATGATGTACATATGATTAAACTAGTGCGAAACTCGTTTTCTGAACAAAAAATTTTCATAGATAAAGATGATATTACCATTGATTTTAATTTTATTTTTGAACTGTTTATATTACAAGAGCAAGAAGGCTGCCATTTAGCTAATAAACTTAGAAAAAGCCACATATATTATTTTAAACAAAAAATGAAAGTAAAGCTTACAACACAGTTACTTAGTCAGTCAGTTGCTGATGCTCTTAGATTTTGTAAATATAATTTAAATCTTGAAAATTTTTCTGATGTAGATGCTACTATTAAGTTTATAGAAATTTTTAATAATGCATTATATACCACTTTTCAGGGTTAATTTATAAATTAAATATTTTTTATTTATTATTGACTCACTTTATTATAATAGTAACAATTGTATGGTTAGGTATAACTATAAATTAAGTCTTTGAGTTACATAATCTTTTATATACGTTTATATGCCTCTCTATAATTATTATTTAAAATGCACCTTCAATAATCAAACTTGTAGAATTACTGAAAGAGTTTGGAATTTATTAGGTTTTGATAATAATATTTTTGAACTAACACCAGATCAGGTTACTAGTTCATTTTGAAAGAAAAGGGGTATTTCTATTTCTAAGGCTTTTGACCATACCGCTTTTATAAAATTTCCGGTAGGAGCAACTCTAATTTACGAAAGCACTATATTCAAAGTTTATAAACGAGAAAGTAAACGGCAATATTTACCGAAACAGTTTCAACAAATCTCCCTTTTAGAAAAAATTGAAAATTTAAAAAAAGATATGAAAGGGTATTATTTTTGCTATTGTACAAAAGGGGAATTACTTAATATTTTGACATTTTTAAACGCAGAACAGCCGATTAATAGTCACACTAAAGATTTGATAAATAAATTACGTTCTGTTTTCAAACAACCACCTCTCTCAGAAAAATATGAATCTGATTCGGACTCCGAGGCAGAAAAACTTGATAAAATTCCAAGTACTCTGCACAAAAAGCGCTTCTTCGAGTGAATCGAACACCCCTACCGATCTCGACAAAACCGTTGTCGAATTTCCTTTAGCTAAACCATCAGAAATTTCACGCGAGGTCACCGTAGAACTCAAACCTATTTCTGCGCAATCAAAACTTTTAGAAAATAAACCAGTTAAATTAATAACTACTATGGCCATAAACGCAATTAGAACACCCCAAACATTTTCAGGAAACTTAACCAGAGGCCGCGGATAGATTCTTCGTTAATTTCGAAAGGGTAGCAACCGCTAATAGGTGGAATGATGCGGAGAAATTAATAATGTTGTCCCTTTCATTATGTGACACGGCGCAAACGGTTTTTGAGGCTATCGAATCCGAAAACCCAAACTTAAATTGGCACGAGGCAAAAAATATAATGATAAAGTTTTATAATTCAGACGCACGACTCCGAATGAGACGTCAAAATTTAGAATCTAGGAGAAAGAGTGATTCGGAAACAGTACAAGAGTATTTGCTAAAAATAAAAGAAGAGTGCAGGAGAATAGATAAAAATATGACAGAAAGGGAGGTAATAAGGTATATTTTGAAAGGTTTACCAGAAGAAATTGTTAAAGAGTTGAGAACAATGGACTTAGATTCACTTGTGGCACTTGAGGAAAATNCTCAAACCTACTTCTGCGCAATCAAAACTTTTAGAAAATAAACCAGTTAAATTAATAACTACTATGGCCATAAACGCAATTAGAACACCCCAAACATTTTCAGGAAACTTAACAGAGGACGCGGATAGATTCTTCGTTAATTTCGAAAGGGTAGCAACCGCTAATAGGTGGGATGACGCGGAGAAATTAATAATGTTGCCCCTTTCATTATGTGACACGGCTCAAACGGTTTTTGAGGCTATCGAATCCGAAAACCCAAACTTAAATTGGCATGAGGCAAAAAATACAATGATAAAGTTTTATAATTCAGACGCACGACTTCGAATGAGACGTCAAAATTTAGAATCTAGGAGAAAGAGTGATTCGGAAACAGTACAAGAGTATTTGCTAAAAATAAAAGAAGAGTGCAGGAGAATAGATAAAAATATGACAGAAAGGGAGGTAATAAGGTATATTTTGAAAGGTTTACCAGAAGAAATTGTTAAAGAGTTGAGAACAATGGACTTAGATTCACTTGTGGCACTTGAGGAAAATATCAAAAGAATAGAGAGGAATGCAGGGCTAATGGAAATGAATGACAAAGATAAAATGATAGACAAAATGCAAAAGCAAATAGATCTTTTAACACTAACGGTTAACGGTACTCCAAGATTCAATAATAAATATGCAAAGGTTAATAAACAAAATTCGAGTCATANTAATGTTGTCCCTTTCATTATGTGACACGGCGCAAACGGTTTTTGAGGCTATCGAATCCGAAAACCCAAACTTAAATTGGCATGAGGCAAAAAATACAATGATAAAGTTTTATAATTCAGACGCACGACTTCGAATGAGACGTCAAAATTTAGAATCTAGGAGAAAGAGTGATTCGGAAACAGTACAAGAGTATTTGCTAAAAATAAAAGAAGAGTGCAGGAGAATAGATAAAAATATGACAGAAAGGGAGGTAATAAGGTATATTTTGAAAGGTTTACCAGAAGAAATTGTTAAAGAGTTGAGAACAATGGACTTAGATTCACTTGTGGCACTTGAGGAAAATATCAAAAGACTAGAGAGGAATGCAGGGCTAACGGAAATGAATGACAAAGATAAAATGATAGACAAAATGCAAAAGCAAATAGATCTTTTAACACTAACGGTTAACCGTACGTCCAAGATTCAATAATAAATATGCAAAAGTTAATAAACAAAATTCGATTCATAATAAAAATAATAATACATATTTTAATAAAGATAATATGGCATATAACAACAAAAATAATTATACAAATCAAAACAATAACAACAATGGTAATAATTTTTAACAATAACACTAGATATAATAATAAATATCAAAAGTACAATAATTCAAATCGAAATACAGACGGTCATCTTTACAATTCTAATAATAGTAATAATGGTAACTACAGAAACAATCACAATTTTAATAATAATAATTCTTATAATAATAACAGATTTTCTAATAATACAAGTCAAAATTATAACAATAATAATGGTGGGCGAAATCAGGGCGCAGGAGGTCCGTNTTACTTGTGGCACTTGAGGAAAATATCAAAAGACTAGAGAGGAATGCAGGGCTAATGGAAATGAATGACAAAGATAAAATGATAGACAAAATGCAAAAGCAAATAGATCTTTTAACACTAACGGTTAACCGTACGTCCAAGATTCAATAATAAATATGCAAAAGTTAATAAACAAAATTCGATTCATAATAAAAATAATAATACATATTTTAATAAAGATAATATGGCATATAACAACAAAAATAATTATACAAATCAAAACAATAACAACAATGGTAATAATTTTTAACAATAACACTAGATATAATAATAAATATCAAAAGTACAATAATTCAAATCGAAATACAGACGGTCATCTTTACAATTCTAATAATAGTAATAATGGTAACTACAGAAACAATCACAATTTTAATAATAATAATTCTTATAATAATAACAGATTTTCTAATAATACAAGTCAAAATTATAACAATAATAATGGTGGGCGAAATCAGGGCGCAAGAGGTCCGTCTACTAATAAGTGGGCCCCGAATCAACGGCGCCCGCAGTAAACTCAAAAAAACGAATAAGTCAAAATCCGGTGGTTAGGACGAATTTTGACACCCCTGCGCAGCCTAACCAAAAATTTCTGGTTCCCAATAACAATAATAAAGAAAAGCAAGCGCAAAATAATATAAATATCAAGGCTGTTACACGTTGTGCGAATATTTTTTCTAATAGAGAGTCTAATATTGAACCGATAATATTAGGAAAATTATATAATTCTGATGTAAAATTTCTTATCGATACGGGAGCATCTATTAGTATAATAAGCAATAATCTAATTCCAAAAAATCACANCCCGTTGCGCTGCGCTACAGTGTCGGCGTGATCGAGCTCCACAGGGCTACGAAACGTCGGCACGGGCGCAGTTTCCCTAGCTCGGGGAATCGGGCGCGTCCTCAGGTTGCGGATAGAGGAACGGCCTGCAGATATGCAGGCTAGCCGCGAAATAAGCAGTCCATCCATTTGGACTGACGAATAAGCGGTCGCGGACAGCGAGCCCCTCGATCGCTCGTTAACCATGCAGATATGCAGGGTAGCCGTGATATAAGCCACTCCTAGAGTGGACGAATAAGCGGTAGCGTTCGAGGGAAACGGGCAGGTGGGCCCGATAGCCTGGTAAGGCGACCACCTAGGTGAAGGTAACACCGAAAACAAATCCCCTGGCGGCAGGTAAAACGCAGGGAAGGACACCCGTAAAACCAAATATGGAAGGACACCATCACAAAAATACAGCTACCGTTCCAGGAGTTTCGGAGGCTCCAGGGCCGGCTGGGAAGAGTGTAGTTGTAGGCTCGACCCGGTCGTTATCCAGCGACTACATCGACACCGTTGTACTGTTGAGGCAGGGTCCAGAGGGCGTTCGCGCCCAAGTTACTGCTGGAGGATGTGGGGAGCAGGCATCCTCCGGTGGCTCTAGAGCCACCGAGGTTACTGCTGGTGATAGTGTAGTAATTATTACCGAAGAAATGGTGGTGAGTTGGATAGGCATTAGGGATCGTTTTTGCAACGATATTCCTCTCACGATGTCCGAATTCACGCGCTGGAAGGAACTCCAAGGCAAACTGATGGGCCAAAATGCTGTTGAGCATTGCCTCCCGTACGGGAAGTTTCAGTCCCTGGAGAACTTCCAGAGTTCTGTTGCCACCATCCTGGGAATGATGGCGAATGACTTGGAGGATGGGGGAAAGTACGCCCCGGAGAAAAAGGAGACGTATGATCCGTTTCAAGGGGTGGAGGATGAAGGGGAGAGGCTGTCCCTTATGGCAAGGTGCATCTCTTCCCTCCGAAGCGAGAGCACGACGGATCGCGCCATCAAAGTGTCGAAGCTCGTCGGCAGGGAATTGCTGACTCGCCACAAGGCGGTCCCCATGATGGAGATCATGGGGAAGGGTCTTCGGGATGCCGTCGATGCGTTCGAGCACGAACGCAGCGTCGCGGGAGCGGCAACCGAAGAGAAGGATGTGGACTTGGTATCTGACGAAGACGAAGTAATGAGGACCGGTGACCGGCGTCACACCGAACAAGCGGAGCCGTCAATAGTGGACAACACTACAGTCTGCTCAGACGTTTCCTCTCCAGTGCTTAGCCCCCTCCCAGAACCGACTACACCGGTTGGTGCCATT